TAATTGTTGTAAGCACTACAATGAATGAGACAACTGCTCTCAAAGTGCCTTATAAAAACAATTAACATATTATCAGGTGAAAGCGTTAACAAGAAAATTTAAGTTTTTACTTGTTTATACATTCAAAGTGTATTCTAAGTGCATCACCCAAATGTGCCAGGGAGGAAGAGCTGTGGAATTACCAAAGCTTTCCCAGTTTGGCAACCTGAGAATGGAGTCCATTCATCTGATGTTGAGTTTCTTTCTGAAAAGCAGTTTTTTGCATCTTCAGAAACCAAGAGAGTAAAAATACCTAAGCAGGGAGATTGGCCTCCCGTGAAATCCATTGAAATTAGTGAAAATATTTCTATTGACTTGCCTGGCATTTAGATAAGCTCTTTAATTCTTCAATAATAATTATTTTTAACACTGTAATTCAAAAACACTGCAAGCTGTGCTTCACCATAATCCCTGTGTCATGAGGCAGGCCTGGCCACCAGCAATCCCTGACACCACCCCAAAGTCCAACCAGGTTTGCAGAATTAGCTCAGGGTGGCTTTGCCCTTGCCAGCACAGATTTACAAAGGGGCTGCAAAGAGTTGGAGTTGGTTTATTTCTAACTTCAACATACTTTGCTGTGAAAATGACCAAACGTGGGATCAGCTGAAGTTTCCAGCTTTATGCTGATGTGCCATTTGCTTTGGAAGTTTGGGCACCTGGGGTGCTAAATCAGGACCTCAAGGTTTTCTATCCAACATTATTTTTTAGGTACAGGCATTAACTGTATGGCTGTAAGTTCTAAATATCAGCAGCCACACTGTTTCATCCCTGTCTGCTAATGTTTTTAAGTTCTGTATCTTCAGCACACGCCAGAACAAGCACCCAGTATTTGTTGACATTTTATCTCCAGCTTTCCCATATTTTTGGATCTGATACCTGGCTGCTTCACACCTGAGCACATGTGCCCATCCTGTTTGCTTTAACCATCCCTGGAGTTGCACAACTCTGTCCTGCCCCCTCTTGCATCACCACCAGGCCACAACAGAGCCTCGGAGACACAAAGGACTTCAGAGGGCTGGGAGCCCTCTCAGTGTCAGATAGAGCAGCACTCAGATCCTGCTCAGATAGCAAGGCCAGGCTTTCAGAGGTGCTGATCTGACTTGCATGTTTGTGACAGGTGTGGCCAAGCCACTGATAACCACCAGCCTGAGATATCCCTTGTTTTGGCTGCTTCACCTTAATTGTTCCCCCACTTTTGTGTCTTGCTTATTTTCTCATGCATCTGATGTCCTCCTCCATCCCACAGCTCCCACTGTCTCCACCTTTCCCAAGGACTGTGCCAGGGGGAGTGCCTGATGGTCCTCATCCACCATAGCCCCAATTGACTGCCACACTCACCATGCCAAGGGTTATTTCACACCAGCAATTTTAGAGCCCTGTGTTAAATTAGGCCTTTTAGTTAGGCCAGATTAAGCCCTGTGTTAAATTAGGCCAAATTGAGTTAGAATTTGTCTGCAGTGTTTGTACCTCCAGAATGCAATGCTGCTTCTAAGAATGAGGAGAGGCTCACACGCAACACCTGTGAGCGACTTGGGATTGTTTTTTAAGGAGAGGAAATGCCCTGTTTTCCCACAGTCAGGGCACACAGTCTGTTTCATAGCAGAATTATTTTTCAAGGGTGTTCTTCCTTTTCCTGTTTTACAACCTTTGATTGCGCATCCAGAGCTTTGGCTTCCTCTCCAAGCAGCTGCCTTGCCAAGGCATTTGAATTGTGAGCTGGAATTTCCAATGTTTGAAATTAGCATCTGGGCTAAAACCATTCACCAAAGCCTTTGGGTAGTAGATTTGTGAGAACTATGAGCCTGGGACAAAGATGAGTTGAAGTTCTGTGGGCAGAAGGGCTATGAAGCATATCCAGCAAATATTCAAAATGCTTAATGTGTTTTAAGGGAGCATTTAACATTAATTTAATGGTGAACAAACAGCTGAGATTAAGTCCTTCAAGGATGACCAAAAAGTTCTTCTTATGGCCATTGTGTCAATAGGGACCATGGATTTTATAAATCTAATGGAGGAACTACAAAATCACATCCAAAGATGCAAAGAATTGCAACTTTGCAAGATGCAAAACTACAGTCACATCCAAAGAAATGCTGCAGCAATTCTCTCGAACTGTTTCAGTGAACACTTAAAATACCACTATTCCCCCTTGCCTTTTTTCTTAAGCTCTCCCCCCACTCTCCCCCTTGCAACTCCTCAGGTAATTAACTGGAAATGACCCAGTTGCAGCATTGTCAGAGGTCTAACACCCATCAAACCCAGGAAACTCAGGCTCCTTGAACGCTCCCCTGCTTACCCCGTGCTGTTGTGCTTAGGGTATTACAGGGGTCTGCAGAAAGTGCTTGATCAGATATACTGTACCACATGTTCCCAAATACCAGCACACAGCAGCAGGACTTGGGGATAGGATTTCAGCCTTCATAATGAAGAGTCTTGCTTTTATGAGTTCGAGTCAGACCCTTAACGTTATTTTAACATAGATTTTGGTGTTTAATTATGTAATAAGATTTACTGCAGTCATCTAACAGATGTTGATTCAGGGTCAGTGTTTCTCATAAATTAGTTCTGAAAGGATTTGTTACTTCTGGGTCAGCAGATAGGTCCAGAGTGCAAAGAAAAAGGGGAAAAACAATAAACACTGAGTTGAAGGGTTTCTTGGGATTCTTTCTTCAGTTACATATCCACATATTTTCATGATCTTAATGACTATAGCCACAGGAATGTTTGCTTTAACACTAAAGATGGCTCAGGCCAAAACCCTATATCCAAACATCTGCAAAGCATGGGAAAGTTCAAACTTTGGGGCTCTTTATTTTATGACCCTGGCTGTTAATTTTTCATACTAACACGACACATTTTTTCTAGGGCTCAGCAGTGGGAATTGCTGTGACCTTTAGCAGCACCCCAAAAAGTTTCATCTTCATGTGCTTGTTGTCAGACCTTGTGTATAAAGTGCAGCTAAAGGCCAGTGTTGGTTGATGTAGTTGTCATCACACACGTACTGAAAAGCTGCACCCACCTTCCTCTGGAAATTCAGCCTTCCCATGTCTTTGGAAGCAAATCATGTTTGTACATCCTCCTGCTAACAGCTGCAACTAAACCCACCCTGCATTATACTCATTCTTCTACATTTGTGGTTAAAGGAGGGATTCCATATTAAAGTATTTTTCATTCCATTTTAATTTAGTTGCAGATAAATTCCTTTAAAGCTGAAATTATGCTCTTGATATCTTATTCTGCTAGGAGTACTTTGGAGGAAAGGGATTGAGGCTCGTTTAATAGTGTTGCTAGCACGTCCAGGGCAGTTGCAGCCTGCCAAGTCTTTCACAAACACTGGTGAATATTCACAATATTCCTCCACATCAGGGTATGAGACGCTAAATGTTGCCCCTGAGATGTTTTAGCAGAGGTGCAACAGAGAGCGCTCAACACATAAAACCATTTGCTAAACTTAACCACTTTTGCCTTGGAAAGTGCAGAGGTTTCATACCTAAAAAGCTCCTCTAAGATGAATCCCAGCTATGAGTAAGAGCTCTGAAGCATTTCCCCGAGCAGCAATCACACAGTGGCAAACTGGACTCTTCACAGAAGGGATGTGAGAGAGGAGGAAGAGTCCATGGCCAGGGGCTGAGCCTCAGCCAGCAAAGCAGCGCTGAACCTGCTCCATGCTTGGACACAGCCCTGCTCCCAGAGCCTCCCCAGCTCTGTCCCTGCCGTGGGGACACCCTGGCCATGGACTCACAAACCCTGAGCTGTGTTTGTGCCATGCAGAGCTGTCAATTTAAACAGCACTGTCCAGACCCACGCTTGGAACTCCTCTTTTTTTCAGGAGTGATTCCCCTTAAGTCAATGGATTTACACAATGGATTTGCTGCTGCCAGAAGCAAATCAGGCCTGTAGGAAGACACACATTCCTCGCCAAGGAAATCTCAGAGCTAACTACTTGAATTGTGCACTCGAGCTGCAGAGAGGTCAAGTGGACAGACGACAGCACTGGGACATATAGGAAGTCCCTGGTTCAAACCTCAGCTCTTAAAATGTCATGCGTTGTGACCTTGGGCGAGTCAGTTCATCCCCTTACAGCTCCATTTCCCCCTTCTCCTTTGTCTGACTTGTCTGTTTAATTTGGAATTTGTTCCAAGAAGGGTGCCTAGCCTCATGTGCTGGGCTGGGGCACTGACACCTCTCCTCCCCCTTGCTGCAGGACTGGATTGAAGTCTTTGTTTCCTCCCAACACTGACCCCTGCTTCCGTGGCACAAGCAGGGTTACAGGGGACCACCAGCTTCCATCAGGGGACAGGCAGGCCTGTCACCCCCTGGGACAGCACACATCCCAACACCAGCACTTGTTATTTCACAGTCAGGGTTGGGAGGTGGAGGGAAGCCCTCACTTTGAACAGTTTCTTCACAGCCCTGATCACTACAGATCCTTTAAAATGAAAGCTTTGACCCTACAGAGAGGAGCCATGAGCTCATGATGAGTTCAGCTGGCACCAAATGTGGGTCACTGGCATGAAAAGCCTCGAGGGCTGGAATTTGTGTCTATAGAGTGTGGGTATGTGTGTGTGTGACTGTCAGGAGCAGAGCCAGGCCAAGAACCAGCACTCCTGAAAAACCCCATCTGTTTGTCTCAGCTCCTTCCCACAGCAGCTCGGTCGTTATCGGTGGCAAATGTCCAGAGTCACTTATCAGGCACAAAGCTGCCAAAAATCATTAAAACACAATGGCCCCCTGTGCCAGCCGACTGTGAAACTGTTCCAAAGGGAGCCTGATAAACACATATATGCCCGTAATAGCCCAGATAGAGGCAGGGATTTCCTCTGTGCTTTGGTGATCTGAGCAGCCCCCGAGATGCTGCCATCAGATATTCCCACCCCTCTCTGTTGTGGCAGCTCTGAGGGTGTTTGCTGGCGAGGGAAGGGGAACAAAGCAGGTGCCTAATGGGCTGTTTTCTGTTCCAGTGGAGCATGACAGGGAGTTCCACCACCAGCGCTGCCACTACCGAGAGTTCAGGTTCGACCTCTCGCGGATCCCCGAGGGGGAGGCGGTGACGGCGGCCGAGTTCAGGATCTACAAGGATTTCATCCGCGAGCGCTTCGACAACGAAACCTTCCAGATCAGCGTCTACCAGGTCCTGCAGGAGCACCCGGGGAGGTGAGGCACGCATGGGCACACCCTGCCGAGGGCACAGCTCCCTGCTCCTGCAGGGAATCACAGCCAGGGCTCTCAGAGAGCCTGGGGCCATCGGCACGAGGGGCTGCGTTTGGCTTTGGGGCGTGCAGGGGATCCCAGTGATGCTGCTGCAGCAGCTCCTGAGTGTTGTGATGTGGGCACAAGTGCCCTGGGAGCCTCCCCATGGCCCAGGGATCATCCCCACCATTCCTGTTCTGCCCTCTGCGAGCACTCAGTAGCCTGGTTGTGTGCTAGTGCAGAATAAGTATCATAAACTAGGAATATCTCAAGATTTCTGCAAGAAATCCCTCCCTTCCTCCTGCCCCTGATGGATCCTGAGGTGGCAAACTCAAATGCTTCCTTTGGAATTGTAGCTTAATTGGCAAACCCAAGGAGAGATGGCCTGGGAGCCTCTCTGTGCCCCAGGGAGCATCCCCAGCACTCCTGCGCTGCCCTCTGCGAGCACTGTGCCATGTGCTAGTGCAGAAAAAGTATCATAAACCAGGAATATCTCAAGATTTCTGGAAGTACTCCCCCTTTCCTCCTGCCCCTGATGGATCCTGAGGTGGCAAACCCAAATGCTTCCTTTGGAATTGTAGCTTAATTACCAGCCCTTATTATCAAAGGCATTCGAGCTCCTTAATTAACAAAGACAGATGATACAATGCTTTTTATATTAACTGATTGTTTTGCATGTGCAAAACTACAAGATGAGCTATTAAATCCCTTCCAAGCAATTATTAATGTATGCCAAGCTCCCTGACAAATCCTCCAGGGAACTTGAATAAGAACATATGTTCAATTTTCTCATCTGGTTTTAGTTCCAATTAATCAGCAATCCCAAACCACTTATCAAAGGCACTTCGTTTCATTTGCACAGATTTCTTTCACATACAAATCCTACCAAAAGTGAGATTGCATTTATTTATGTGAAAAGTATTTACAATCACATTCTAGTCAGAAGTTATTCTTTAGGACTACTAAATATGGGCTAATAATACCACAGTTCTAATTTAGGTTTATGAAAAGAGAAACACTAGGGATTTAAAAAGTGGAAAGTCCAAAAGGGTAAGAAAAAAAAGTATAATCAGGACTCTGGTTTATAGTTTTATAAGAACTAATAAAAATGCAGAAAAAAAATTGAAATATGTCAGGAAACCTTGTCAACTCTTATTTAATGGTGAGAATTTCTGCCGGCTTTGCTGGATGGTAAACATATTTAACCACTGGTGTGTTTTCTTCCACATCTGAAATTCTGATTTTATAGCTTAAAACTCATGGTTCTTCTGGCATTTCTAATGATGCAATTATTTGCAGTGTTTGGGGACTGTGCTAAAATGAATCTATTTTTATCAAACAGTGGTAATTCAAACTGTGCATTTTAACCAGGTCTTCCTTAAAGGAGAAGGCACCAAGCAAGAGCTGTGCACAGGACCCATCAGGTGTCCTGCTCACCCTAAGCATTTCAGTTTATTCCCTCTCAGGCCACTCCAGAGGCAGCAGCCTCCCTTTGCTGCATTTCTTGAGAGGGTTATTTAGGTGCCAGCCTACAGGGATGGCCTTCCAGTCTTGGGAAGAGCAGGAACTGTAGATGTGCTGGCAGAGGAGGCACCAACCTGAGTGCCAGGGCACTGGGGAGCTGCCAATGTTCTTGGGTAAATGACCTTCCTCCCTCATCAGATGCCAGGGCAGTTCCCCCTCGGGTCCTGATGAGTGAGGTGCCCACTAGGAATCCTACTGACAGAGTCAGAGTGAGATCTGATACCTTAACCATGGTGCATCCAACACTTTGTTACAACTTTGTTTAGAGAGGATGGGGAGGCACTGCTGGGGAGCAGCAAATGCTTCTGCAAACTCTCATCCACTAATTCCTATTCGTAAAGGAAAATAAATGTAGGCAAAGGGTGGGCATATACATCAACCACTGTCTGGAAGAGGTGAGGAATCTTGCTAATTATACAGATGTTCCAGCCACAGGACTAGATGCAATTTTACTGCATCATATTCACCACAGCAATGCTATTTTTAATGAGTGCTCATGCATATTCCCCTTTTGCATACATTTTGGCACAGGCTGTGGCGAGTTTTGAACAGTTTGTCCTGAAAAAATATTCCTGTTGGTTTGGATTGACCAAAGGTAAAAATATTGTCCCTACCATTTGTAAAAATATTTGCTCTTTTTCTGCATTTTTCCACTGACATTTTCCACCCGGCTCTGTCACAGCCCAGTCATCCAAGTCAGTGTGTCATTGGGCAAGTGCAGAAAGAAAACAAACCCTCTCCAGTGTTGATCAAAAAACACCCATTGACTTTGATGCTTCCTTGGCTGTTTGTCTCATCCTGAGCTCTGGAAAGTCAGCCCCATCTGACGTTGTTAGCAACAAGAGCAAAACAAAGCCAAGCCCTCCGCCCCACGCAGGCAGGGAAACCTCTGCTGCCTTCGGGTTCCCTCCTGCAGGGCTCTCCTGACACAGAGAATTGCCTTTTGAGAGCTGACCCTGCAATTCTGCAGGCTGTGCAGTGCCCGAGGCACGGCAGATCCTGCCAGGGACAGCTCAGCATCCTCTCAGACAGAGCAGAGAGCAGAACAGCTCCCAGAGCACAGGGAAAGCTGAGGCTGAGGGGGACTGGAGAGATTTTCCTCTGTGGGATGAGCTGCAGGCAGGGTTTTCAGTTAAACCACACAAAAGCCTCCAGTTTGGAGGGTGTGATGGTGCCCTCAGCTCACGGAAAGCAGAGGTATGAGCAGCTCAGCTGTTAACGGCTTCACGAGTTCAGACAGGTTGGAGGGATCTCACCAGCAACATCTCCTGCGTGCACTTCATTGTCAGTGAAAAATACAGGCTTAGGTGTTTCCAGAGCAACAGCTGCACCCCCAGCAGGCTGTTCCTGAAATCCTGCCCCTCAGCAGCTCAGTGTTTGCAGGGTAGAAGCTCTCCCCCATCCACCTGCTCAGCCTAACAACCCTGGCAGCAAAAATGAGGGCCCAGCCCTTCCCTTGCAGCAGATGAGATGCCGTTCATGACTTTGGACTGCCAGGAATTACATCTCTGTCAGACTGAAGATATTATTACAGGTGTTTGTAGGAAATCAGGCTAAGTGATCAAATATTCCTTCTCACTTTTCCAAATCTTTCCTTGCGAGGCAAGCTCTTCAAACTGGCAGCATCTCCTCGATGGAAAGGCGTGCACAGCATTCTTTAGGCACACAGCATCAGCTATTCACTTTAGGCAAACAAGTACATTCATGAACAAAAATGTCCCAAATATCACAAACACTGATGATGTTTTAACTGGTATAACATGCCTCAAAGCTCTCAAGTGCATAGCTCAAAGTCCAGTGAGTCATGTCCAACTTGTGTTTGGACGTCATGGCTCACTCACCCAAAAGCCTGGGAAAGTGTTGGACAAAGCCAGTGCCTGACTTGAGAGCAGCAGGACATGCAGTCCAGGTTTGAGGTGACAAACTCCTCAGTGGGAAGGTGGCCATGGGGAGCCTGGGGCTGCTCAAATCTCCTCCCCCAGAAAAGGAGGGAGAGCAAAGCAGATCCCAGTGCTCAGTCAGGGCATCCCCCTCAGTTAATTACCCTGCAGAAAAAATGCAGACTGTAGAGATGCCCTAAAGCTCAGAGCTCCATCCTGCTTTTCTGTCTGCACCTTTTGAAGCTGAAATACCTCATCCCAGAGTTACATCTCCTATTTCGTTGGACCCAGCTCTTGCACTGCAGAGTGAATCCCAGCCCCTTTGAAGTCCATGGGAGTTTTGTTACTGGAGAGAATAAAACCAGGTACTTGACCAGCCTTTGGTAATTGAAATGTAGTTGTTACATGTTCACTTTGTGGCCATTATGGATTCCAGGGCTTCAAAGGCAGTGATTTGAATGCTCATGTTACCAGCCCTACAGAAAAATCAGATCTTGCAGGATGCATTCCTGGGTTTGACTTGCAGCTGGAACCCTTTAGCCCGAGCTTCAAACTACAGCACTGCTGCAGCAGATCAAACCTGAGCCCCTCTCCAGACCCCTTTCTGCCATTCCCTGGAGTCTGGTTCCTTGTTGTGGGTTGAAACATGTAATTCTAGTACCTAAGAAAGGCTTGGGCCCACCCAGCCCATAAAGCAGATGTGCCTTCGTTTTGGGGCTTTTTTAAGTGCCAGTGTGATGCCTGTCCTTTTTCCCACTTTTTTAAGTGCCAGTGTGAGCATTCTGAGGATGGTGCAGCACAGCACAGTTGGATTTAATGATGTGCCCCAGCACCATGACAGTATCTACAAATACCAACAATTAATTTGATTATAATTTTTGGTGACTTATCTGCAACTCAGTCATTTATCTCTCAGCAAGCAGCAAGGGAATGTGAGCACATAGATCCTGCAGCTCTCCAAGAACAGACTGTATCTGGTTTTCTCCTTCAAACCAGTCCTAAAAGCCACTGCAGCCTGCAAAACCTTTGAAAAATCTTGAACTTAGCAAGGCACAACTCTTCACAGGCACCTGAGGAGCTGCAGGAGGCATTCTGCATATCCCAGTGGGTCCTTGCTGGGGAAGTGATGCACTGATGAACAGCCCCTCAATGCTGAGCAGAAACAGCTGTACAGAAAGTGTCAGGGATATGTGTAAAACCTCATTTCTCCCAGCACTGTTTTTACAACAGGCTTCATGTTTAGGAAAGGTGTTGCATCTCAGTAACAAACTTCCATTGCCACTTTTAATCAGCCTCTGAGATCGAGATCTTACCCTTCACCAACACTGTCTAAGAAAGGCAACACAGCTACTTGAATCACAGAAAGCAGAATTAAGAATCTGCCGCAATTTTAAAGTGAATTTAATTTTCCCCCAGATTCAGCAGAATTTACACAGATCTGTTTCACTACCAGTACAGCCAGTTTTCAGGCCAGCCCTTGGAAAACACCTCCAGCAAACTGAATTCCTGCTGTGGACATCCCTTCACCTGGCAGAGCCCCTGGGCTGTGCTTGGCTGGTG